TGTCTGACGTAGAGGAAGATAATGACATGGATGATAATGAATGGAGTGAAGAAGATGAAGAGATTGTTACCAAAGAAGAGCATAATTCAGATTCGGAGATGGAAATAGAAGAAGATATGGTTACTTGTGACTCAGCCTCTGATATATATATATATATATGTAAAATAATAAATAAATGTTTAATAAACATATAAAACTAATCATTTAGACTTTATTTATATTGTTTACTTATAAATTACTCCTAAAACAATATTAAAGCTGTTCTAAAACTATAATTTACAGATGGTAGCATATTTGCACCACGCGACTACTCATGAAATATTTTAGGACGCGACTGCTCGAGGGTTAAATTAGAATCGTTAAACTAAAAATAACAAAAACAGGTCAAAACATTTGTTTAATAGTATATTTTGTCATTTAATCCAATATAAATTTTATTTGATGAATAATATACCTTATCTTTTAATTAAGAAATAAATTCAAGGAAGTTAAACTCAACCAAACCCCAAAATAAAAATGTTACCTTTTTTTAACTGTGCCCGTTAAAAAAATTAAAAATGACCCACCCTAGTATAATATACATATTATGTACTATGCTCCACACCTCAAAGTTCCACCACGTGACCACGTACGGAACGCAGTCTTTTGAAAATTTGGCATTTAAGGCTTTTCAGGTTATGTATCTGTCAAAGTATAGTCAATGAAAGAAATAATATTTATAGTGTTACCGCGTATGTTTAAGAGTTAAAAGTTAATAAATCTTTATAGTATCACAATAACAATGGTTGGTTTAAGAATTTAGGAATATAAATACTGCATTTAATGAAATTTCAAAGTGTAAGGTGCAATATAAGTGATATTTTTGTGCATTGGGTCTACATTTCTCCATAAAATTGTTTTAACTAAACAGCATTTATTAAAAAATATCTAACTAACTAAGAATATCTGTATCAAAGGTAGGTTAATGTATTAGAACAAAAAATATCATCTAATTTTGTATTTTAAGGTGACCAAAATAAATAAGTGGATTATTTGGAAGAGTGTGTTAATATGGTCATAAATAAATATAGGTATACTAAATAATTGTTGAATATGGTTCAAATTAAATTGAAGCTTTTATTTATACTTCTAATGACAAAACTTGTGCATACCTCTCGGCATACGTACTTTAAGTTAGATTATAAGAAAACAAACAATTTTAAGAGAGACTTACAATGTGAAAATATTTAATACTCCCATGACATGTGATATATTAAAATTTTATATTTTATATAAGTTAAAATGATTTTTCGATGTAGATCAAGTTCAGTCGTCGTATTAAATAGGTACCATATTATACAGTCTTTTAAATAATCCAAAATACTTATTTATTTTGGTCAAAATAAATTTTTCTAACCTTAAAATTACAAAATTGGATGATATTTTTGTTATAATATATTAACCTTAAAAAAGATATTCTTATTCCATAATAGAGAAGCTAGATTTTTTCAATAAATGCTGTTCAGTTAAAATTATTTTATGGTATTTGGACCAAATGCACAAAAATATTACTTTTTTGGCACCATACACTTTAGAATTTCATTAAATGCAGTAATTATATTCTTAAATTCTTAAACCATCCATTGTTATTGTAATTTTATAAAGATTTATACATTTTTAACGCCTAAACATAATATTATTTCTTTCGTTGACTATACTTTGACAGATACATAACCTGAAAAGTCTTAAATGCCAAATTTTCAAAAGACTGCGTTCCGTACGTGGTCACGTGGTATGGAGCATAGTACCATGGGTAGTTTGGTGAGGGCCCGGGTGCCCCGATCATATGGGGGCCCCAAGACATAAAGAAAATTAGTAAATAAAATATTAATTAAAATTAACACCCCATTGCACCCCTACTAAAATATTTATTTAAACCGTATTTTTACACTAAAGGTAGTGCCAAGGGCATCCGAACACCTTAAAACGGTGGAAATATTTTGCAGCGGCGACGGGACACCGCAGTGCACCGTTCGAGATCATTTTGCTTATAAATACAAAACCCAAATTATGCTCGAAGGGGGCAAAATGTCAGCACTCTCTTTCAAGGAATTCGGTACTCGTATACCGTGAAAATAAGAAATAAAGATTTCTGAAAATTGTTCTGCTATTCTCACTCTAAAATAAACTTTTGATTTTTGGAGTCGCCGTATTTATTCATAGGCTTAAAAAATGTTGTTACAAAGTTGTGAAGAATTGGAAATAATAAAATAGAAAATATCTGAATCGTTTTGTAAATCAGTTTAATAATTGCTTGATTTAATGAAACTTAAAGAAAGGACGCAGGGAAGCAGACTTTTGTGAAGTTTTTATGTTATTTTTATGCTATTTTTACTTTTTTTGTAAAAGTGTTCTTTTAAAACGATCTTTTAGTAAACTAAAAATGTTAATTTTTTTTTTAATCTAGGTGCGATTGCGTGATTCAATAAGTTCGAAGAAGGGCGTTATAAAAACATACTTGTGTTTTAAAAATTTTAAAAAAATTTGTATTTTCCTTTTCTAATTTTTCTATAAAGTAATTTTAAAAAGAAAAAGTTTGTCTTAAAGGCAAGGTACAGTGGCCACAAGTATGATTTGAACTTCTGCTTGGATCCGCCAGTGAAGGGCGTTCAAGTTATAAAGAAATAATAAAAATCAATGTTTGTTTTAAAAGTAACATTTTAAAACATAGTTTATGTAGTTTGAAATTTTGTATTAATTAATTAAAATTGATGACGTGGTGCGTATACGCACCATTGGCTTAAACTAGGAATAGCATTTTTTAAATATAAAAGATTTCAAAATAGGTAGTTAGTGTGTAAATAAACTATGCATTTAACACATAGATAAATATTATAATTTTTGAACTGCTTGAATCTCCTTCTTGCCTTTTCAGAATGTCTTACCATTGAGTAAGGAAGTTGGGAAGAGACGCAAGGTGATAGGACGATCTGTGCCAGGCGTATTATTATTAATTTACAAGAAAATGTGTCCGTAAGGTGTCGCCATCTACCCACCAATGTTCCAAGCTTAAAAATATGATAAAATAAGGGGTATTCGTTTGAAATTCCGATCTCCCGCTTCGAGCTTCTTACCCCTCTTTTCACTGAAATCAACAGCGACGGCCAGACAAAAACAAGTTTATGTCCAGGAACAGCGATGCAGTGGTCGGATATTCTAAACCCTGTCGACATGCTTTCTCTGTCTTGCCTAATCTGCTCGCGCCGTCAGTGGATTTTTCGTTTTTGCCTTCAAAAATTTGTTTCCAGTTAGGTGTATGTATGATTCAGGCGCGCATTTGGATAAAAATTCATATTTCTACAACCGTTAAAGTTAGCGACTTAATTTTTTTTTTTAAACTTTGTCAATGTTTTGACTACATTTGACTCGATAAATATGTATATAAATTTTCAATAATTCACATAGCTCGCCCCAGAGTAAAGTTTTTGATGCACGATTTTGATAACTCTAAATTGCAATTTTTTTTTCAAAATCTTTAGAAATTTTTTAAATTTCTAAATTGCTATTAGAAGCGCTTACATTTCAAGTATAAGTCTGCAAAAATCAGAATTTTAGATTGTATTCTAGAATTAATACAACGATTAATGTTACGAATCAGCGGAAAAAAATCGGCGTGTGAAATTAAAATTCTTTTTAAATTATATTTTGCAAAATATGACAATTTTCTAAAGAAATTAATAATTTTTAATGCTAAGAAATCATTTTTTCTAAAATCTGTTGCAGATACAAACAAATATTAATAATAGTTTTGGGACACATTTTTTTTTAAAAATCACCAATTAATTTATTAATCATATATGTAACTACGACAGAAAATGGTTATTACGACAAGTCAAAAAGATAAATTAAGAGTATACCGAATAAAAATTTTCTAAAATACAAGGATGATTTTTTTAACAAATATTAAAAATATATATTATATTTTAACAAATATAAAAAATCAATAAAAATATTTTAACACAATGATTTTTTGATTGTTTTTCGCTATATAATATATAATATAATATTATTTTATTGGCAAAATTAAATTAAAAGTTTACCGGTTAACTAACCTCACGGATGTGTTTATATTTTAAATTGAAATTACTAATATAAAAATTCATATTTCTGTAACCGTTCAAGTAAGCGACTTAATTTTTGTTTTTAAAACTTTGTCAATCTTGTGACTACATTTGACTCGATATATATGTATAGAAATTTTCAATAATTCACATAGCTCGCCGCAGAGTAAAGTTTTTTATGTATGATTTTGATAACTCTATATTTCAAAAAAAAATTTTTTTTTAAATTTCTGAATTGCTATTAGAAGCGCTCACATTTCAAGTATAGGTCTGCAAAAAATCAGAATTTTAGATTGTATTCTAGAATTAATACAACTATTAATGTTACGAATCGGCGTCAATCAGGGTAACTTTGCTCCACTTCATGCATAAATGTTAGCATATTTTCAAGGTGATGGCTAATGGTTTATTTTTTTACTTATATATGGGTTAACGCCAATAACAGCTACAATGTTTTTAAACAATAAATACTTGTTTCCCATTTGTTATATATTTAAAGTAATAAATAAAGGTGGGCCAAAGTTACCCCCCAAGGTCGGGTAACTTTGGCCCAGCTCCTAAAAATCAACCAAAATACGTGATTTTCAGTCGAATAAGTTATCAAGGTAACTTTGTACCACTTTGCTACATTGATTAAAATTAGGAAAAATTTTTTAAAAACTTGTGTTTTGTAGGTATAATTTTTTTAAAATAAAACGCCACTCGGTGCCCTACGGCCTAAGATATATGGACATTTTAAGGGGCCTTTTTTTGTGTGTTCTAATAACATTTTGGGTATTTTGAAAATAAATCTAAATTCTATGACAAATATAGATATATATTGTTTTTACAAAATTGTATTAAGTTTCAAAATAGGCAAATAAAAAATATTATACACCATGGTAGTACATCAAAATTTACCTAACCATTCCACTTTTTTGCAAGAAATGAATCATTAATAATAAATAAATCTCTGTTGCTGTAGGGAATTATATCTGAATCGTTAATCCGTTTTATAACATCTTTTTCTTGGTAGAATATTTCGTCCCGTTTTGCTGGCCACTTCCATTTTTTTCCAAACCTCTCTAAAGCGTTAACCTTGTACAAAAAATTTCCACATTCATCTTGTATATCTGTTACAACACCTGGGAAAAATTGTCTGTCATAAAGCACAATAACGTAATCTTTTTTTTGATAAATTGTTTTGACAGGTTTTAACAGACTCTGATCACCCCATTGTTCCAGAATAAAAATATCTTTGACAGTAAATGTCCCTTTGTTGGTGTGAGGTTTTATATCATCCTCATTAATTTTTTTTATTACATCTACTTCTTCATAGATTATCTCATCCTTTATCTTAGGCCAATGCCATTTTTTTCCAATCCGTTCCATAGCATTGACAAGGTAGGTAAAACCATTTACTTGACTTCCAATGATCTCAGTGACAACTCCTGGAAAATATTGCTTATTGTAATGAACCACAACATAGTCATTGACCTGATATTTTATTTCATTTGGTGCTACAGACTCTGAAACTTGATGTAGCTCAGAACCTACTACGATGTATTCTTCAGCGGTTGATAGTTGAATTATTATTGGAATTTCATCAATATTTTGAATCAAATTCCCACCTACTGCCTCTTTTTCTGCGGCTATTTCACTGATCTCGTCATCAGCATTTTTAATTACTTTATTTTCATTTCCCATATCCAGTTGTTCTAAAAAGTTTTCTTCGTTATGATTTGTATTCTCATAAATTTCCGAGATTTCACAGATTTCAAATTCTGAATCTATAGTGTTTTCATCATCTATGTTCCATTCTTTTGACGTCAGACTAATATCTGATTCGCTGTCAGAAGAAAGATCAGGTTTTCTTTTTTTGGATTTTTTTGTCTTTTCTAATTCTTCTTCTGCATCTATAGAGTTTTCATCATCTTTGTTCCATTTCTTTGACGCTAGACTATCTATATCTATATCTGATTCGCTGCCAGAAGAAAGATCAGGTTTTCCTTTTGTGGATATTTTTCTCTTTTTCTCTTTCGTTTTTCCTTTCCACTATTTTTTTTAGCAGCTTCCTTATTTTTATAAAATGCTTCAACTTCCTCAGCTGATACACTTTTACCAGGGAGAACAGGAAGCTGATATTTTCTATTCCTCTCTGGCGCTGCGAGATCGGATACACGAATATTTTCTAAATATTCTTGGAACTGTTTTCCAATAACATTTTCCACATTATGTGAACCAGCAGATTTGGTATAATCTGGAAGCTTAGAAATAATTCGGTTTCGTGACACTGGGTATATGCCAGTTGCTTGAAAGCCAGCAATCAGATTTTCAGAGATTCTGGACTGCACTTGAGTTAGTGTGTCAGCTAGTAACCGTGCGAACCTTTTATTGGGGAGGCTTATAGATTTCTTTCCTTCTGATGTCATCCTCCATTGTAACAGGACAGATCTCCACGCTGTTTTAAAAGGTGAAAAAAAGGCAACGTCCAGCGGTTGGAGCAAATGCGTTTAATTTGGCACAAGACATAAAAATTTAATGTTATATTCTTCACACAGCTTTAGTATTTTGATGCTTATATGAGAACTTAAGTTGTCTCCAATCACAACGTTCTTTCCCTCCTTCTTCCTTAAAACCGGTAATAGATGATTCTCAAACCAGTCATCAAAAATGTCTGTTTCAATCCAGCCACTTTTTGAAACATTCATCCCAGAGCCTGGTGGAGCTTTGTACATCCAGTCCGTCCATTTATATTTTCCTTTATAAATTAGATATGGTGGCACAAGCTCCCAAGATTTTGTCGCACACCTTCTAATTCTAGTTCAATATTGTCGAAAAACTTATTTATTTGGACCTCTCCCACCTGGGCTCTTTTTCTGGAAATATTGGCTGCGAAAGTCTCCTTAAGTATTGAATGTCTGGCTAGGAATAACTTTCCCCATTCCCATCCTGGTTTGTTGCATTTGAATATTGGGACTTTTCGTTCCAAGTAGTCCAAGTAACTCTTTACGATGCAGCGTAAATCATAAATTGTTATGGGGATACCCTGTTCACTAACTGCAATAATATGATTCACTATAAGCACTTCCTCATCTCGTGTAAATACTGTTGGTCGTCCTACTGCTAATTTGTGTTTTTCTTTTAATTTATTTTTCAGTGTTGATCTCGGAATATTAAACACTTTTGCTGCTTCTCGTTGACCAAGAGTACCCACTCTTATTTGTTCAAGAGCTTGTTGGAGAGTCGCATTAGTATAATTTGACTTGGTTCCATAACGGCGAACTCCAGGTAGACCGCTAGCCCTTTTTCTTGACATTTTCGTAACGGTCGACTAAAAAAAAATAATAATTAAATGTTTGAATATCGAAATTTAGGTAAAATTGGCCCGGGCCAAAGTTACCCAGAAAGGTAACATTGGCCCGGGCCAAAGTTACCCGGAAACCGTGCCTTTTTGAATGTCGTTAACAAATATACCTTATTTTTCTAAAATATACATGCCAAGACAAAGAAACTGACTTAATTAACAAAAATCACATTTATTCTAAGAACTATTTAATCTACTTTAAGTAGATGGCGCTCAATATACCAAAACACAATTTTAAATGATAGAATTTGTTTACACTTTTCAAATAAACTGCCGGGATAGATTTAAATAGATTTCTCACACTTGGGCTAATGTTAACCTAATGGGCAAAGTTACCCCGATTGACTTAATTTTTGTTTTTAAAACTTTGTCAATCTTGTGACTACATTTGACTCGATATATATGTATAGAAATTTTCAATAATTCACATAGCTCGCCGCAGAGTAAAGTTTTTTATGTACGATTTTGATAACTCTATATTTCAAAAAAAAAAATTCAAAATCTTTAGAAATTTTTAAAATTTCTGAATTGCTATTAGAAGCGCTCACATTTCAAGTATAGGTCTGCAAAAAATCAGAATTTTAGATTGTATTCTAGAATTAATACAACTATTAATGTTACGAATCAGCGGAATAAAATCGGCGTGAAATTAAAATTCTTTTTAAATTATATTTTGCAAAATATCAGAGCTGTGGTACTCAGTAGAAAAAATACTGCAAGTATGGTACTGAGTACTTTCAGTACTTAAGTATAAGTAAATAATAATACTAAATAGGTATATTATGTATTTTTCATTATTTTCTGCCACCTGGCACCTGCCTTCCTCATCAAATTTGAAATAATTCTTAAGGAAATGCAATTATAATACTTGCAGATAAATTAAGATTATGATTGTTTTGCGAAAAATTATAAATATCTAAGTTTCATAAATTACATCTAAAACTCTTAAATATAGTAAAATTATATTCAAAAATTTATAATATGATTATGAATATGATACTGATATCACCAGTACTGAAAATTCTGTAAGTAATAAAAATTACTTGCAGTAATAAAAATTACTTGCAGTAATCAAAGTTACTTGCAGTAATCAAAATTACTGGCAGTAATCAAAATTCCTTATAAGTATTTAAAACCATAACTTTATGAGTACTTGGTACTGGTACTGGGTTTTTTTTATAATTTCCAGTACTTTACTTGATACTGTAAGTACATTTATTAAATACTGGATACTGGTACTGGAAGTAAAATGAAATATTATGATACTGATTACTGGATACTGACAGTACTATCGTAGGGTACTTGCAACAGCTCTGCAAAATATGACAATTTTCTAAAGAAATTAATAATTTTTAATGCCAAGAAATCATTTTTTCTAAATTCTGTTGCAGATACAAACAAATAATAATAATATTTTTGGGACACATTTTTTTTTTCAAAAACCACCAATTAATTTATTAATCATATATGTAACTACAAGTTGTAGTTTACAACAGAAAATGGTTATTACGACAAGTCAAAAAGATAAATTAAGAGTATACCGAATAAAAATTTTCTAAAATACAAGGATGATTTTTTTAACAAATATTAAAAATATACAGGGTGTCCCGTAAAATGTGGGAAATCTCTCGGATTCAGATAGAACATTAAAAAATAAGATGACAAGTTCCCATAATTTTTTTTCCTAGCGGCCCTCCCTACGGAGATACGGCCTCCTAAAGGACGCCACTGGAAATCAGTTTTTCTTGAATAACTTTTAAACTACTTAATATAATTTAATGAAAATTTAACATAATTAGCTTGTTTAGTTTACCAGGGGCGGACTAGGTTGTATATTTTAATGCTTACATTTTTAACACCCTGTATGATAGGGAGTTAAAAAAAATAAATTTGGATACCTTGAACATTAAGCTAAAGAAAAGGTATTCTTGTTTATTATCCATAAAATGAACCGTTTTCGAGAAAAAAAATAATAAAGAATTAATGTTTTATTTTTATTAAAAAGACCATGATTTCTAATTTTTTTGTCTACAAGCGGAAACAAAAAAAAATAAAACTTAAAATGGAAACCGATAAAGAAAATTTCGAGATTCTCTGCTTGTAGACACTTTCCGCACGCTTGTAGAAAAAATGTTGTACCTAACACTGTCTGCAACAAAGTGTGATTCGAAAGTAATTGAAATAAAACTGTCATTAGCCTTAAAAAACGCACTGTTTTTACAAACGTTACTATGGTACCTACGAAATAATAAATATCTTGCATTGACGTGTGTATTTTAAATCTTGTCATCTTTCATATTGTTAGCACGTTGATCCTTTACTTCGATATTAATTTATTGAATTTTGAACAACATTATTGACTTTCTTTAATAATTTTTAGGAAGTTTTGGGAAAACAAGTACTGATGCTGGTGTGAGAAGAACAGTACGTACGGTGCAATTGGAGGAAAATATTTTGGATAGTGTAGCTGATACTCCTTCAATAAGCACTCGAAGATTAGCCTCGCAGCTTCATACGTCAAAAACGATAATTTATAAAGTACTTAAAGAACAGTTATTACAATCTTATCATTTGCAAAAAGTGCATCAACTACTTCCTCAAGATTTTCCTCCTTCAATAAGCACTCGAAGATTAGCCTCGCAGCTTCATACGTCAAAAACGATAATTCATAAAGTACTTAAAGAACAGTTGTTACAACCTTATCATTTGCAAAAAGTGCATCAACTACTTCCTCAAGATTTTCCTCGTTCGCAAACTGGATGTTAGATCAGCAACGGACAAATCCAAACTTCATTAGCTCTATTCTTTTTACCGATGAAGCAGGGTTTACCAAAAATGGTATTGTAAATTTACATAACTCGCATGTATGGGCTGATGAAAACCCTCATGCCACTGTTGTTCATCATTATCAATATCAGTTCCAATCAATTAATGTTTGGGCAGGAATAATTGCCAATTTTTTGATTGGGCCATGCGTATTGCCGCCACGATTGAATGGTGAAATTTATTTACAGTTCCTTCAGAATGCTTTTCTGGATTCAATAGAGCATTTGCCAATTGAAACCCGCCAGCGCATGTATTTTATGCATGATGGAGCCCCACCTCATTTTAGCGTTGCTGTACGGGACTATCTGAATAACGTCTATCCAAACCGTTGGATAGGCAGAGGAGGTCCCATTGCCTGGCCTCCACGCTCTCCCGACTTAACGCCAATGGATTTTCACCTGTGGGGACATCTCAAAACCTTGGTGTATTCCTCTCCGGTTGATACTAGGGAGGAACTTTTACAGAGAATCACATTTCATTGTGATGCGATAAGGAACAATGCTGGGTTGTTGTGGCGAGTACAGCAGTCCTCTATTCGTCGTGCCCGCGAGTGTATCAGAGTTCACGGAGCCCATATTGAACCCACTTATGAAGTTTTTAATTGATTATTTCTAATTTAATTTTTCTGTACATTATTTTTTAAGGTTGTTTTTTAAATAATTTCAAGAAAAACATATTTCTAAAAATAATTTTTGTTAAGGTGCCTTTCTGGGACAAGACTGAATTTTTAAGAATCTTGTAATTTTGTCGGATTAAATAACCTAAACTAAAACTTTTCTGTTTCTTGAATGACTTTCGTATCACACTTTGTTGCAGACAAAAAATTAGAAATCATGGTTCTTTTTAATAAAAATAAAACATTAATTCTTTATTATTTTTTTTCTCGAAAACGGTTCATTTTATGGATAATAAACAGGAATACCTTTTCTTTAGCTTAATGTTCAAG